AGAGAGAGAGAGAGAGAGAGAGAGAGAGAGAGAGAGAAAGGGGAGAGGGAGGGGGAGAGAGAGAGAGAGAGAGAGAAACGGGAGGGAAGGGAGGGGGGAGAGGAGGAGGGAGGCTGTGTCAGGATTTTGCTTGAATGTGGGATTATGTTGTGTCAATAAGTTTAAGGTGGAGAGAGCGAGGCTGGGGGTGGTGGCGTGGAGGGGAGGAGGAAGGCCTCGGCTGTTTAAAGACTCATTCTGAAGGTAAGTTATGGCATTGCACGGTCGCGATGACAGAAAACTTGCAGATCCTTTATCCGGGGATGGGGTCGGTGCCTCTGGAAAGAGCTCCCCAACCCTCGGAAGCCACTCTCGTGTTACACTGTTATTTGCTGCGATCCGGGTCGCTACTAAATTACAGAAATCAGACTGGAGGCTTCTTTTCCTCCTCCACCTCGTCTCGCTCACTCACCCTCAGAGACGTACTATTTATTATTATTATTATTATTTATTTTGTGGATATCGCATGAAACTTAACGTAACTGAAACCGAACCCGAGTCCTGTAATTTACAAGGACCCTGAATCCAGGAATCTGGAACACGTTGATGTGTGAAATACCCGCGATCATTTCTGCTAAATGAGGAAGGTAAAACGAAACGATGCAAAAAGCTAAGACACAACATGTACGACAGAGGTGGGGGGGAGAGGAGAGGGAGAGACACAGAGACAAGCTATTTTTTGCTTTCCTTTCTGTAGAAAGGAAAATAAAGCGTGCGTCCCCCTTCCTTCCCAGTGTGTAGGGTCTAGGCGATATTTTAACTGTCTGAGGACGAATTAGCCCAGGTGGATCTTGTTGAAAAGTTTCTCGAGGTGGGGTGGAGGTGGGGGGGGGCCGGGGGGGGGGGGGGGGGGGGGGGGGGGGGGGGATGGGGACCGAGCTAGCTCTGCCTCGGCTAATGGTCATTGGCCTGGGGCTTTGAAACCATTGCCTGTCCTGCTAATGACACGTCCAGTTCTCGTCTACCGGCCGTGGACGCCGGGCTGCCGTTCCTGGGGCTGGCTGGTGGGGACTGGGGTACTTTGCCTGCACGGGGAGGGGCGCTCTCGGCCATCCCTGGGGGCTGCCCACTCGCGGCGTGGGTTACCCACGCACGTCCTCTCCCCTGCGCGCCGCCGCCGCCACCTCTGCTAGCGCGACTTTTGTAGTCAGCCTAAGGCCAGGGGGCGCGGGGGTCCCCGGAGCGGACATCTCCGCCCGGCCACCCGGCGCCCGGCCCCACGCGCGCCACGCCGCGCGGTCCAAGCCTGGAATGGCAGCGCGGGGCCGGGCGGCGGCGGTGCCTCCCTGGGGGGCGGCAGAAGCAGCGGCGGCGGGATCTTTGCCGGGGCCCGAGGGAGGAGGAGGAGGAGGAGGAGGAGGAGGAGGAGGAACGGGAGGAGGAGGGACGGGAGAAGGAGGAGGGGAAGGAGGAGGAAGAGGAGGCGAGGGAGGCGTTTTTTTTTTTTTTTTTTTTTTTTTCTGCTCAGACCGCCGCCAGTTCGAGCGGGCACGGGCACAGGGACACCCCACTCGTTGCTCCTGCGTTGTGGAAAGGTGTTTAGCAGACTTTTAAGCCCAGAGTGTGGGATTTGCACTTCATTTTTTTTTCCTTCCCCCTGTTCCCCAAAGCAAGATGGACTCTATTGCCTTTCTCTTTCTCCCTCTACCTCTGCCTCTGTCTTGTCAGCCTTAAAGATCGACATTTTGTACTAAGATACAAAGTTGATGGTGACCAGCAACAAAGCCTGGGTGGGATTCCTCCCTCCTCTTCTCCCCTGGCGTTTCCTAGCCTCCCCCCACCCCAACCTCGCCGACCTGGTGGCCTGAGCCTGCTGTCGTGGGCTCTGGAGAATGTGCTTCCCCAGGTCGACTCCGATCTCCGGTCTCAGGATTGTGACCGAGCCAGGCTGTTGGGAGCTGGCTGTGGCCGCCCAGGTCTGTAGGGCTGAGGGCTGTGATACCTGGACCCGCTGCCGCCGTGGCTCCTCAGGCTGCCTGGCTCCGAGGCACAGCGAGGCACGAAGGAGTGCCTATCGATTTGGTTACTGGTGAATTTGCCCAGGGGGTGGTGATCACTTGTGCAAGTTGATGAATGATCGTGATGTGGGCTTTGCTGCTGTTCAGAACGGATCAACTTTCTGCTTGGTACAGACAGGGAGTAGGAAGCAAGGTTCTGGAGAGACCTTGGAATGCTCGCTGGGCTGCCCCCACTAGCTTTGAATAAGCGAGGAAGATGATGCGTTCCGTTTCTGCCCTTGCAGCTCTTTCGTGGAGGAGGGTGGTGGAGGGCAAGGGGTTGGTGTGGAGCTGGACTCCCGGGTTTTGTGCCCTTTCTTCATTGAACTGTACTCTTGTAAAGCCTTCCCATCCTGAGGATGTGCCTTTATGTGCTCCTTATAGGTCACTATCATATGACAAAGGCTTTGCTGCAGTTCATCTTCCTTCCTGTGGACCTCCCATTTACCTTCCTGGGTAAGTATGCACACTCTTGAGAGAGGGAAGTGGGTGGCTGATGGTAGTGCAGGAAGGGTCATTATTAGATTATTAGGTGCTTATTGGAGTTACAATACTGCCCCCCCTCCCAGCTTGTCTCACTGAGTTTCTCATAGCAAAATTTTAGTTCAGCTGCAGGTTATTAACATTTGAAGATAGTGTAAATGTTTGTTTCTTGCTTATCTGCAAGTGTCACTTGAAAACTAATTATCAATAGATATTGTAGTTGGTACTGAAGTTTTACACATAGTTGAAGATCTAGTAAATTTGTCAGGCAGTATTGTATGAATAAACTTATTAAGAACCCAAGGAAGCCCGTAAAGTGGACTTTTCTAATTATGTGACACATTCACTCTCTCCCAGAGTCTCATCTTCTGTGGTACTTGAAATAGTTACTTTTGGGTTGGGGAAGGTTGTTTTTAGGTAGTATAGTAAATCTTTTACTTAATGTACAAGCCTGATTCAAAATTTATCCCAACTTCCATAAAGATTTATGCATTTGGAGAAATTAGGAACATTTTACTAGTCTTGTGCATAACTGCCATTTTCAGATACATGCCTCCCAAATCTCTGAAATGGAAAATTCTGCAAAATATGTCTGGGGTAGTAAGTGTGTAAAAAGTTTGTGAGAGATAACAGGAAAACAGGATTTGCACAGCATTTCAGAGCAACACTGTGTTTAGAAACTACAGAAAACTAATTAGCAAGTCTGTCCCTCTGCTGTAAAGGTACATTGAGTTGCTGATGGCCTAAGAAAATTAGCTGTACTGAATCTTATATATATCAAATGTGGTGCTTTATGGTAATACCATAGTGAATTTAGAAGTTGGGCATTATGAGTGAAAATGAGTTGTGTTCAGTTTTCCATGAAAGAAAACTTAGAATCTTTGCCTTTCTTGTTTCCTAATTGGGTGGGATATTCTATATGCTAATATGTTAGTGTTAAAAGGGATTGAGTTTGAAGATCAGGCCTTTGTAGTAGTCCATAGTTAGTAACAAATATTTGGACATTATTGGGTGCTTTAGGTAATCTAAATTTTGTGGGAATTTTCTTTTTCTTTTTTTTTTTTTTTTTTTGAGTAGTATATTACACTTTTCTTCACAGTTAGGTGTTCCTTCAGTCAGAGATCTTATAATGTCACATATAATGGACCAACTGGAGCAGTTATAATGCGATTATTTTATAAGGTAAATTTAGCATGTACTTTTCAGTACTGCTGATTTTTTTTTTTTAAGTTTTTCATTTTCCCCATATGGCAATAGATTCAGAATACATAATTGTTTTCTAAAGAACATCCTATTTACACACAAAGCTACATTGTGTTCAGTGTGGCGAACATTTAATGTTACTTTTCCCTCTGGAAATGTATTTGGCCAACTCAGAAACTTAATATAAGAATCAATACCAGAATAAAAGCAATCTGATCAAGTCTTGTACTTCCTTGAGATAGCAAATGACTTTTTCATTAAAACAGTGTTTTTAAGAACTATCTTTGAAGTCAGTACAATGATTGTGATAGTGTAAAGCTTGCAATGGGGTCTTTAAAAGTCACCTTGCCATGAATTACCAGTTATTTGAATCTACAATGTATTTACTGGATGTGTGTCTTTCCTTATCAAAGTAAGAATTTAAGGAAGCTTCTGCTTCAGTATGATCAAGTTTCCAAAATTCTCTGGTTCTTCGTATCTC